CATTTATCATTTATTCATCTTGCTGCGAACAAACATTTTTTACAATATTGTTTAATAAAATCAAAGGTAAGTACCATGATTGCATTTGAATATTCTAAACTTATACTGCTTTCTTCACAATAATTTCATTTATTAACTTATGCCTCATATGTTTATTCCTGTTATATAGAGCAAAATCTTCAAGGTTTGTAAAGGCATCATATTCTTGTGCCAATACCTTTATTTTCCATGTGTTTTTTTTTACTGTCACTGAATGCAAAAAAAAATCAACTAATTTATGTATATTACTTCCTCCATATGGTAGCACCAGAAGGTAATTCTTAATTTTCCTAATTTTGTCTTTTTTCCCCTCCGTTATTATTCTGATGTTCCTATGATATTTTATCATCTTAGACATTACTGTTGAAATAATAAAACAATTAATTAAAAGTCCTGATCAACTTCCTCATAAATCTTACTTGGCAAATTTCCTTAATGAAAAACCTCCAGTAAAAATACCACTTGCTCCTAATCATTTCTTCCAATTTAATACTATAGGTCTAGATGGCATATCTAAAGAAGAACGAGATACATATTTTATACTAAATACAGAAGCAGAATGTACATTACTTTATTCAAGACTTTTAGGACAGATAGTTTACCCTCCCTCATTTGGAAAAACTGAAGACTCATATCATGGTTTATGGGATAGTATTATTAAGAATACATTAGAGATATTTGGAATGCATAACACTAGTTTACCAGCATTGGAATTTGATCGTAATACAAGCAAACGAACCTCAACAGGTAAATTAAGTAGTAGTGATTGATCAGCATGATATATATTAACAAAAAAAAATTCATAGGCTGCAATCACCCAGACATGGTTGTATTAGTGAAAAATATTTGTCCTTTTCGAGGTGAAGAAAAGTCCCGGGAAGAAGCAGGAGATCCTTCAAATGAATTAGTTGATAAAATCAAAGATTGGACCTATGGAGATACACCATACATTTTTGCATACTATGCTATTGGTACTCTAGTCACATTTGTTACTTTGTATAAACCTGAAAATAAAAAGAGAAAACTGGAGATTTGTTCTGAACGGATTGCAGAGTTTGATTTAGGGCGTTTGTCAGATAGAATTCACACTATGAATTTCCTTCGAAATATTTGTGAGTGCTTTTTGAGCTTTAAATTATTATCACAAAATACTAATTTATTATGTGGTTATTTAGGTCGTATATTACCTTTTATAGTAAATTTATGCCCTCCAAGGGATTCACCAGAATTTCAAACAATTATTCGACCAAATGGAACTACTATTGAACTTGGGTATGCAATTAAGAAAAAATTTGTATATGAAGAACAAGTTACACATTTAAAAGGAATTTATGGAATGTTACATGTAAATTTGAAAATTTTCAGCCATGCTAGCTCTGCCAAAAATTTCATCCTTTTTAGGGTATATCCTAACTATTTATATAGGCAAATAATATTAGATTTTCTGACAGATTAGAACATTCATCTACACATTCTGTTAGTTTGGTGCCACGTGGGGAGCAATGAGAACCAAATGATCTCAAAGAATTACTGCAAGCATTAATTTGTATACTAACTTGTTTGAAGGTAGAGTTGGTGTAAATACAATATTTTTACTATTATGTATACATATTATATTTATACATTTTTATGATGTTTAAACAGGGTATGCATGAAATTAAGCCCAAACCAATAATGCACAGGGATATTCGATGGCCAAACATTATTCACCATTATAACAGATATCAATATTTCATTTTAATTGACTTTGACTATGCTAACTTTTCTCCTGCTGATGAGCCTTTAAAAGGATTGTCTGAAAGTGACCATGCTCCTGAAATGCTAATTGAAAAGCATAATTTTAAGGTTGATATATGGGGTGTTGGTAATTTGGTTGGTTCATGTAATGTCACAGGCATTCCTCAAGAACTTTTAAGCTTCAACACAGATTTATGTAAAAGTGATCCAGATAGTCGACCAACTGCTTCAGTTGCTCTTGATCAGGCAAAAGATATGTTTAGAAAGGTGATTACTTATAACTGATTAATATATATTTGTTTTTTTTTGTTTGTAATACATGTTAACAAAATTTAAAAATTCAGTGGTTTCCAAATGATGATTGGCTGGAAATGATTGAAACTGTGGACTAGCTTAAATTGAGTAGTAGAAAAAATAACATTAGCATATTGGTAATAGAAATAATTATTTCTACAAGAGCTTTGGATTCTCCTCTCATTGCAAATGTATTGTATTTTTCATGTTCAAAAAAAAAAAAAAAAAAAGTTTGCCCATATACATCAGAAAAATAAAATTACATGAATTTTGCATACATAATTGTGTTTACTTTTACATATATATTTTGAAATTTTATGGCATCAATGAATATACAGTGTGTAATGAAAAAAATAGACCTCATGACAAATAGCAGATCTCAACAACTACAAAAGATAATTTAATAAAATTATATTCATTTAACTATCAACAATTTTTTGTAAAGTTGATTTGGATCTTTTTTTTAGACTTTGCCAAATTTTTTGACTTCTTCCAAAAAGTATTAGGCACCTCAAAGGTATCAATTGAACAAAAACATACATAATAATAACAATAAAAATCTGACCAATTTGCAGCTCAGTTCCTAGAGATTATTTATATACACAGTAAGTCTCGGTATAGCAGACCTCGGTATAGCGGATGTCTAATAAAACTCTCGGTTTAACGGATCAAAGCTCAGAACCGTCTATAAGTAAATTCT